TTAACACTGACCCAGAAGTATGGCAGAGGAGAAGAAAATACAAAGAGTCAAAAAGGAATCCAATTAGACTGTAAAAATGCTACTTTTAATCCAATGACACAATACAACTTGAGGAATATAAATCTGTCAGAAAAGTGTAACAAAAAGATATTCTTTAAATATGAAAGATACATATTCAAACAGAGCAACAGTCCTTAATCATTTTGGGTGGTAAAGCCCTCTGAAAACTTGCAGGAACCCGCCCACAGAGAGTAACACACACATTTCTACACACAATTTTACTGGGTTTATGGCACAGAGTTTCAATCCTGCCTACACGATAAAGTCACCTGGAAAGCTTACCAAAAATCCCAATGCCTAGACCCTCCCCTACAAAATCTGATTTAATTGGTTTGGGTGAGGTCCCAGGCAGCATTTTTTAAAGCTCCTTCAATGACCTAACATAAAGCCAGAGATGATGACATCCACTATTCAAAAACTTCCTGAAATCTCTCCATAAAACCCTCTTCATTCACTTGCTCATTCAACAAAGATGTTAATTAATCATCTGCAACCTCTGGCATTTAGCCAAAAATTCTGAAGAGTCCTAGAGAAATGTAGTCCAGTTCTTTCTGTTTCACAGTCACCACGAATCAGCAGTCTGGCAGTCTGCCAGTATGACTTGCATTATTAGAAAAATTCTCCAGGAGTCAAATACTAATGATTCTCACTTCCAAACTAATGTAACCTTTCACAAAGGAAGGTCACCAGATCACTGAAATAAACATAGAGGAAATGCAAAATGAACACAGTTTTGAAGTTTTCCTCTACTATCTCTTATTATAGCTCTTAAATGGGCTCAGGAAAAATGTAGAACATGGGGAGGCACGGGCCATAAAACATTGGCATTTTCAAATAACACTTTTCAGAGTGTTCTATTCTAAAACTATACAGAGCACTGTGATTCAGGAACAAGTGTTTAGTAAAAGGATAAGTGACGCAATGGGAGGAAAAGCAAATAGCTATTATTCTGAAAAGTCGTGCCACAATAAAATTGCAAAAATTAGAGAAATAAAACTACATTTACTTAATATTATTATAAACACTGGCCCCAACAAGCTTTCCTACTTACCTCATCTACTCATCCCCATTCCAACATATGATCTACATATATACAAATACATATATGTACTATTTTTTATTAACAGACTTATTCTATAAATATTACTGTATAACTTGCTATTTATCATATATTTTGGAGATCTTCCCATAAAAGCATATATATATATATATATATATATATACACACACACACACACACATATATATATGTGTGTATGATTGTGTGTGTATATATATATGTATATATATAAATAAAGATACCTTACTCTATTTAAAACCTGCATAATCTGGAAAATTCTAGCTATAGTATTATGTATATATCATAATTCAACCGATCCCTTATTGATGAATATTTAGGGTGTTTCCAGCGTTTTGCCAAAACAAAAGGACTGTTTTAAGGCCTTTATAGTCCTTAGCCTCTATTCAAATTAATGTCATATATACTAAAATGTGGTTTCTCAGAAATCCACATTCATATGCAGATATTAAAATCCATATTGTACACCTGAAACTAATACAACAGTGTATGTTAACCAAAAGAAAAAAAAAGAAAATCTAACCTATGAATTTTGAAATATTTTTGTGATTACCAAATTTAATAATTAATGAAAGTGACATAATATACCTTGTAACATAGATTTCTTTTCATATTTAGTAACTAACAAAAAAGTATTTCCAAAAGCTCATGAAAAACTAAGCATCGTGCTTGGGAGTCCACCCTAAACAGTAATTAAAATAAACAACAAAGCCAGTACCTAGAACTTGCTGTGTGCCAGGGACTATTCTAAGTATTCTACATTTATTCATGCATGTAAGCTTTACAACAACACTATGAGTTGGGGGCCATTATTATCACCATTTTATATTTGAGGAAAACGACACATATAGGGACTAAGTAATCTGTCCAGTTTCACAGAGGTAATGTCATACTGTCAAGATTCAGAATGAGGCAATGCACCATGTTACACTTAGACCTATATCCTTATTTACCTATACAGGTTAAGTTCTAGAAGTAAAATTTCCAACTCAAAACATATGAGCAAGCCCAATTTGATGTATATTGCAAAATTATCCTCCAAAAAGCTTACACTAATTTATTTTTCTGCCAAGACTTTATAAGAAGGCTTATTTCTCCATACCCTCCATAACAGTGTGTATTATCAAATTATTTAGTTCTTGCCAATCTGGGAGATGGAACAGCTGAATTTTTAAAAATGGATATTTCTTTATTGTCACAAGACTATTGGTCATTTATATTTATTTTTCCAAAGCTATCTATCTGTTCATCTGTTTGATTTATTTATTTCTATTGGACATAATACTTCAACACATTCAACAACAAAATTAATAAATTAATGCCTCAAGAAAGAAATTAGTTCAACTTCAAAGCACTAATGTTATGGTAAAAAAGACTTTGCATCATATTAAATATATACATATGTGTGTATATATACACATATTTTGTGGATTTACCTTAGATTATTTTAACAGTGCCAATAAACACATTGAATAATTCATTCTTGGAATACAATTCTTGAGGAAAACCTGCTCTTAAACTCGTATCCTGATTTAAACACTGCTCAGTGAAATGTAGCTGAAGTTTTGCCTCAATAAGATGTAAGCAATTGAATCTTCTATCACATTATCAAAGATTTATTATCCTTAATTTATGACATTTTTTTCACTGCTTCATCACCATAATTAAGAAATAATGATTTATGTGCATAACTAGTTTTATTCTCATTACACTCTGGAAAGCAATAAAACAAATTATTCTTTGGTCACAAAATCTCTTATTTTACATAAGCTTTTAACAGGTAGCTATTTTTAATTTTGCCATATTACACTCCAATATTTTTATACTCATTCTTTCTTGGTGTTTATTAAAATAAATTGACCAATATTAGCATAAATACCTTGAAGGTATTAACCCTTGCAACCTTAAATATACAGTAAATATATTTTGATGAACAAATGAATAAATTACTTGGGAACAACATAATGATCAAAAAAACCCAGGAGTAATTTATGCCATATTCCTTCATCTAGCAGCACAGGAATAGAAAAATGAAATTTGTCACTGCACAAGAACTGAGAAACTCTACTATCCATTTCGTGCCATAAATCTACCCCTATCATTATTCTTGACCTTGGCACTGTTGACATTTTCACCAGATAACTCTCTGTTACAGATGACTGTCCTATGCACTGTAGGATACTGAGCGGCATCCGTGGCCTCTACCCACTAGTTACCAGCAGCACCTTCCCATCTGACAAACAAAAATGTCTCCAGATATGGTCAAATGTTCCCTGGGGACAAAATGACTCAGGGTAAGGATCACTGGTTTAAAGATGGCTAACACTGCAAGTATATATCTAAAACCAAAGTGAGACTCCCGTGAAGGACTTCAAAATTTGGGAACAGCTTCAAGAATCCCAATATGGTTGCTAGAAAAACCTCCCTAATTCAGTATACTCCCATGCCTCCCTTCCACTCAATAGCCAATCCACCATAACTTTTAAGCCTTCAGGTGATTCAACAAGTATTTGTTAGTTTCTTCCATTCCACTTGCTCAACTTTAAAGTTTTTAACCCCTTTCCAAGAACTAGTTGCAGGATCCGACCCACTCAGTTATTCATCTATAACACCACAATATTACTGAACAATAGAAAGATATTGTTAAGTTATATTAGATGGGGACTTCTGGCTGAGTCTTTTGAGGTAAAGTGCCAACAAGTCAGATGATATTATGTATCCAATATTGAAGACAAATGAGTACATAATCATTCCTAGCTGTGGTTCTGATCCAGAAGACAAGTGTATACAGTGCTTATTAATAAATGTTTCTTTCTGTTGTTCCTAAAAAAATTATTAATGGAGGAGTTAAATATTTATTTATTTGAAAGAGACAAAGTGAGAGCATGAGCCAGGGGAGGTGCAGAGGGAGAAGCAGGCTCCCTGCTGGGCAGGACCCTGGAATCATGACCAGAGCTAAAGTCAGATGCTTAAACCACTGAGCCACCCAGAGACCTGTGAGTTAAATATTTATAAGTAGAATGCCTTAACTATGTTTTGTTTTTTTTCTTTCCTTTCCTTTTCTTTTTTTTTTTTTTCTTTTTTAAAGATTTCATCTATTTATTTGACAGAGAGAGAGTACAAGCAGGGGAAGCTGCAGCAGGCAGAGGGAAAGGGAGAATGAGCACTCCCCCACAGGGCTGGGATCAAGACCTGAGCGGAAGACAGATGCTTAACCTACTAAACCACCCAGGTACCCCCATTAACTCTCTTTTCTAAATTTAAAAATATACTATTGGTAGCCTCTAATACTTGAAAAGGACTGAAAAACACATTAAGATATCTCAAAACTCCTTTAAACTGTTAGGCAACAATAACAAGGTGAAGAACTAATTTATTTAAAAGCCTGTAACAGAAGACATCCCTGCTCACAGAGAAAAGAATTCAAAGTCAACTTTTTATACTAAACACTTCTGACACCTGAGTCTCTTCTTTATCATTCAATGTTCTCATTTCCAAAATGGTTCTGCCAAAAAGTTTTGAGCATTAAATAGGAAAGAGAAAGGAAGGAAGGAAGGAAGCAAGGAAGCAAGCAAGGATGGATGTTAGTTTTGAAAAGCATCAACCAGTATTCCAATATAAGTAACTGGGCAAGTGACTATAACATCACACAGAAATTTGATTTTCAGAATCACCAAAATTAGGGATCACAATGACTAAAGTTAATATATTTTTCAAAACATTTCTTTCTGACCAAACAACAATCAATTCATTTTTAATTTACTTTTCATTACTTGCAAAAAATGAATTTTAAATCTGATAAAGTACAACTATAAACAATAACACTAATTTTTTAAACTATTCAGATTTTCTAAATACTTACATTACTTGCAAACTTTCTGCTGTTAAATTATTCCACATAATTTCATTTGCCTGAAGATTTTCATTTTCTTCTAGTAAGGAAGTATCAAATTCAATTTCTTGCTCTTTAGCAGCCGTTGTTCTAATAAAGCATGCCAAATAATTTTGATCAATATGACAATACTATCATAATATATCTTAGTGCACACCAAAGGCAGAGTATTTGTTACCCAAAATTATGTTCACAAAATAGAGTAAATACAAATAGAATAAATCATATTAAACCCCAGACACAAAGATCTAGTCACATAATTTCAGCCTTAATTTCATTTGTGGAATATGGATATTAACCTGTTTTATTCCTGTCATAACAGTAATGAGTATACATGGATAAATAATTGATGCATCATAAATTTAACATACATATAAAGTCAATAATATCATCATACAAATGTTGAAAAAATATATAATTTCATGAATTAGATACAGGTTTAAGCAATGATACAGTAACAACTGACAAATTTTAAATTTAAAAAAAACATAAAGATAATTATATAAATTAGTTATCACTGAGAAAGAACTTTGAAAATAATTAAAAGCAGATAATCAGTAATATCATATGTCCTAACAAGCTCTTCAATATCTTATTTTAATTTAGTTAAATACTATGTAGTAGAAAGGAAAATAATACTGTCACAAATACTGAAAGAAGAATGAAAATATTATACATACCTGTGAACATCTATGAAATTATTATATTCTGTGCAAGGGTCTATCTGTTCAACTGACATTTGAATCTCTTTATGGACATTCACTATTTCCTCTGTAACAAGACTGGTTATCTGGCTGTATTCATCAAATATGCCTTTTCTGAAAACGAAAATAAAATTTTACAATATTTTTAAGTCTTCAAAGGAAACACAGGCCCAAAAAAGATTTAGAACAATAAACATAAGAAATGTAATACCAACATTTATAGATGGTGATTTTATGCACCACCTTATATCATATACCTGGATAGTTAAGGGATTATACAAAGGCAGAGATTAACAATTTATGTTTGATATAACATAATAACTGCAAATGATCTAGAATAAGGCATTACCTTTTCCAACACATATTTGACGTATCCAAAATGTAAGGTCAGGTTGACCATTTTCTATTTCTAAAGAGTGTCATAGAAATGCTCCAGTCCATCACATGGAACTGTGGATCAACTCCTGTCTCTTTAATGTTTCTCTCCAGTGGCTGCTTCTTCCTCAAATATCTGACCTCTTGGTTTTCTCTTGCTCCTAGGCCCCTGCTCTTTCCTGTATACTTAATTACAGAGTTCAACTCATTCTATATACCTTCAATGACATCTAGAGCTCTTCTCCTGACCTCTAGTCAGTATGAAAAATGTCACAAAACACATTAGCTTTATCTATTGAATACAAAAGAAAAACTACTCTGTAGCAAAGACCTGATCCCAACTTAAGAATGCTATGCTGTAAAAATATACCACTGGTCAAAAGTGGCCTCAACAAGTGTGGACAGACAGGCTTATCTTGCCTTTTCCCAAATAAATAAAAGGCATAGTTTGCTTTTCTTTTCTAAAATCATCACTCATAAAAAATTATTACTTACAAAATCTCTCTTATTCAGTGTTCTCCCAATAGCCAAATACTCTTTGGGGTTAAAAAAAAAAAAAAAAAAAAAAGATTCAAACTGCTTCAGGCAATGTGAATTTGAAATGATTACAGAAATCACCTGACAAAATTTAAAGAAAAGGGGAAGACAGAGGAAATTTAAAACAGATTTAGTAAACATCCTTGGGGTTCTGACCACAAAAGTGAAAGTACTGAATGATATGAATGTAAATGACCCTATCTAGATAACTCTCATAAAGCAATACCATAATATGATGTGGAGATGATTATTAATATCCACCTTTAGGACAAATGGAATTTTAAAAAACAAATTCTAATGTTGTTATGTGAATGTGACATGGAACTCAATTTCAGTGATATTATCATGCTTGAATATTTTAAATGCTGGAACTAAAATAATTTATTGTTAAAGATAATACGCTATAGGAAACTACTATATCTCAAAAAGACATCTAGGGATAATGAAGATGCCATTACTGAAGATTCATGTGAAGAGTTTGAAAAAATAATGACTCATGAAATGAAAGTAGGAAAGGAAGTATTTCTGAATCGAACTATATAATTTAAAGTAGACATAACTATGGGGTGCCTGGGTGGCTCAGTCCGTTAAACATATGACTCTTGATTTCATATAAACATATGACTCTTGACTGCAGGGTCCTGAGAGGCAGCCCGGAGTGGGGCTCAGCAGGGAGTCTACTTGAGACTCTCTCTCTCCCCACTCAGCGCCTCCCCCCTCACCTACTCATGCAAGCTCTCTCTAAAATAAATCTTTAAAAAATTAATAAAAAAATAAAGCACACATACATAAATTTATACATTAAATATTTTAAGGAGATATTTTATAATACCATTAAAAGCTTACATACTCAAGTCAACTAAAACGTTTTTTTATCTTTTTACTGGGAAAATGGGAGATCACCTAAACCAGCTAATAAAGCAGATGAAGTCTACCAGAGTGGTTAATCTTTTTCTATTGTATTGATATCTATGGTAAACATGTGTGCTTTTAACATACTGTCCAAAGTATATTGTTAGCTCCTTGAAGGCAAAAATTGCAGCCATATCACAGGCAGCATGTTTAGCATACATTAGAACTTCAATAAACATTTGTTGATTTTGATCTCACACAATAAAAGCTGGCATATAAGTCTTCAAAAAATTCTTTCCTTTGATGGAGCTAGAAAGTATAATGCTAAGTGAAGTAAGTCAATCAGAGAAAGACAAATACCCTATGATTTCACTCATGTGGAATTTAAGAAACAACTAACAAATAAAACAAGCAAAGGGGAAAAAAGAGGCAGAGAAACCAAGAAACAGACCCTAACTAAGAGAACAAACATGGTTACCAGAGGTGAGGGGGTGAGGTGATGAGTGAAATAGATTAAGGGGATAAAGAATAGACTCATCACAATGGGCAAAGATTAATGTATAGAATTGCTGAGTCTCTACATTGTACACCTGAAACTAATATCACAGTGTATGTTCACTATACTAGAGTTAAAATTAAAAACTTAAAAAAATTATTTCTTTGGATTACTCAGTCACTCAATATTTAAAACACTACCCTCTGAATATAGATATTCACTTCTCAACACTTGTGAATTAATGAATTTTTTTCTTTCCTAAATTTCCAGCTAATGGGAGTAGAATAAAAACATACAAAAAGAAGGACCGTTTTTAGGGCTAGCTGGTGGGCTTAGGAGATGAAAATAAACTGAATGGACACCAGAAGTGAAAATCAATCAGGACCAAGGTAAAACAGATCTGCCCATTGGCCTGGATCAATAATGAAGTTCACAAAACACAGACAACTTCTATCCAAAAGCTTACACAGGAGAGAAAATAACATTAATTAAATTAAATGAAAATGCCAAATACGAAATGTAACTTACAGTGCTTTTATCATTTCTTCTTGCATCTTTTGTAAGGAGTCCAGAAGCAAAGGAAGTGTGGTGTCATAATACTGATTCTGATGCAGCTGCGCCCCTTTCAATGCTAATACATACTGATTATGCAACATATGAAGTTTCATTGTCGCTTTGTCATATCGTTCCTTGGCCTTTTCGGTTTCTTTCCCTGAAAGAAACATTGAAGAAAGTTTACAAGGAGATAAAAAAGCTTTATCTTCTCCATATGCAAACTGAGTGACCACTATTTTATATTTCACACATTTTAAGAATAATAATAAAATTTTATTGAACATACACTATATGTTCAGCTCTACGCAAAGTACTACTAATTTGCTAGTACTATGCACACAGGCTGCTATGAAGGAGGCATATATTACAGTAAATGTTTTGTGAATGTAAATTAATATATAATTTTTTACAAAATTATACAGAAAAGTGATCCTTCTCATTTTCAAGCAGCTCACACCAAATTGCAACAACAATGTAAATGAAACTGTATAATCAAGGAAACAGGAACGTTTATAAATATAATGTTAAATTTTTAGGTCTGTATTTGAGGTATCAATAAAGACAAGGGGAGTCAGAGGAGGCTTTGTAGAAAAACCAAACATGGGGTGTATTCAGGAAGGTATAAAAAAGACAGAATGGACAAAAATTCCTCCTTTTCTTCCTTTCTTTCAATGCATATTATGAACTGATCACCACCAAGAACTGTGCAAAACATTAGGAATTCAGTACCCAGCAAAACCGAGTCCTCAACCTAGAACCCCTGGTCTGGTGAATTGGAATACTGAGGGTAATATGTTGAGAATAAGTGAAATTACATAGGCAAGCAAAGAAATAAGCTCAAAGAGGGTAAGTTTCAAAGAAGTGAAGGCATTATGTCTATAGAGGTAGGGCAATTTTAGTTGTGAATGATTTGAAAATCCAGCAGGGAAATGTAAGCTTGATATGGGAGAAGTCCAGGAGATATTGATATTATGAACTAAAATCTTTTGGGGTGACTTTAGTAAAATCGTTCAGAAAATATTTACAGATTGACAGTATAAATGACTCTATAAGTAAAATTTTTAAGCATGTCTTCAATTTTTGGTGCAAACTGAACAAATATATTTTATCAACTATTAAGATTTAGGGAATAAACTTTTCAAAATGTTTATTAATTTTTGCCCTCTTTCCAAGCATAATCCTCCAAATGAATCTTCTCCCAAAAAAAGATCTATGTTGAGAATTTTTGATGCCACAGGCTCCCCTCTGCTGCCACTCTGTTTCGGTGTGGCACCCACCTGAGTAGTCCCAATATGTAGGAGTTGGGAAAGCGTTCTCTGTTACAGGATGTCCTAGCCCGGGGCCAAAAGCAAAGAAAAAGTCAGTGTTTGGGGGTAGAGAGCAGACCGCAGACCCTCAGATAGGCACGGGCAGGGCAACAGAGTAAGAACAGTTCCCTTGCCTTTCTCATCTCCCCTCCAATTCTCAGGTATAGGAACCATATCTAGCTGGTAAAAAAGGAAATCTTTCTGGCACACTGGTAGGTCTCCAATACCTACAAACTCTATTGGTTCTAAGTACTAGAGCCACCACGGACTTCTAGGGAGCTGCACGTAATTATTTTACAGAGCATAACTCTAGCCATAGTCCATTAGCCAGTTCCTCCACATGGGGATATTACCCAAGTTATTTACAAATCGCTGCCCGAGATAACCTATTTTGTGTTATAAAAGGAAGAACTTTTCAAGGAGAAAATATTTTAATCACCAGAGTATCTTTTCTAACCCTTCTCTGGAAACAGGCTCTAATACCAGACTGGGAGGATGGGAGTCTATGCATTAATTCAGCTCTGATGTGAAGGGATCAGAAAAAAATAACATGAGCTACTACCAAAGTGGCTTTTCTCACTTTTTGACTACAGCTCACAGGATAATATATTTTATGTCATGAGCCAATAATCATATACATTTTTTAAATATGTAATTGAAATAAACTCATGAAAGTCATCCTTACTATCCTTACTATGAAGGATGTCCTGTGATTTCAAAAAATTCTATTATACTTGATTTTCAATTTTTTTAAATCTTCATTGAAAAACCAATAAATTTTTTTGCCTCAGTTAATACAAATCCCTAGAGAAATTTTTACTCATTCTGTATGGCACTAGGGATAATCTTTTTAATGTCACAATTACAAATCACTTCAACAATACTAATCATGAATGATTTTTAAGATTCTCAGGAACACATTCCCCTACATGTTCAATCATTACAATCATTTTTTACATTGACTACTATATTTATTTATCCATAAATATTGCTACTTGGTATCCTTCTTACAAAAATACATTTCAAAAAATATCCCAAGAGTCAATGTAGTTGACACATCTATGGCCAGCCTCAGAACCTCCCTCTAAAATAACAACCCCTTCTCCTCCCTAACTCCCCAAGTCAGAACGAGACTCCTGTATAAAACTAATACCCAGGAGCCAAAGCGCATATCCAACGAAATGGAAATCAGTGTTTCAGCTGGGAGCCAACTCACATTAATGTCTGAAGGTGACAGAAAAGTCCACAAACACATACTATAGAAGCTGTCAGAGCAGCCCTTTCAAGACCCTTTTCTTTCGTTCTTTTAATTTCATTTATCATTTTTAAGCTAGTTTACGGACACTTTACTTAAAATTTGGCAAAATCTGACAAGAGTTTAAAAAGTCATATAAATTACACAGACATATTGATCACAAGTAATAAAGACGTTTTCTAGAGTCTAAATATTGATAAGAAGAAAATAAAGCAAGCATTTTTCAGTCAAGAATATTTAAGTACTGTGTTCTAATTTGTTAATTTTTATCATAAATTCAAAAAGTATGATTATGTAGTAAATTCAATTAATTCCATATTTTATGTCACTTTTTAAAAAATATTACTTTTTATATGAACTCTATTATTCTTAATTAAGTACTTGGATTTTTTAGTGTAACTTCACGAGTCAAGCTCTCCACACAAACATTTTCATGTAGACATTTTAACCACCCATCTGTCCTCTTATTTGCAGATTTTTAAACTGCACACTACCCATCTGTCTTTCTAGGTGGTGCTGATGCACTAAATAGGCAACACTCAGCTAAGATTTTGTAATCTAAATTAACATTAGAAAAGTTAAGAATTTCTCACTTTCTTTTCTTTATGACAAACAACCTGCAAAAAGCTGTAGCAACCAAACTGAATTATCAACAGCTTATCAGTGGTCATTAACAGAATTTACAGAAAATTAAATGCCTTCGAAAATATCCAAGTCAGAATTCATTACATTCAAATACTGCTAATAATAAAGTTTTTAAAAAGAGTTTGGGGTTTAAAACTGAATTTAGGTATATGTCTTAGTAGGTTTTTGGTTTGTTGCTTTTGTACTCTATAGCTCACATACATTTATGTATTTGGTTATAAGGTGTACTTGTGCATGCACATGACTGATAACCTATCTATATCTACCTCCCACCTTCCCTCCCCTGTAGAAATCAGCAAAAAGTTTCAAAAACATGCTCACCTGCCATCATTTGGAAAGGAATTCTATTATATTTTTTCCTGATTCATTTTAAAATAATTATTTAGGTCCCATGAAAACTATATAAGTAAATTCAAGAAATAGTAGTACTCTGTGAAAACCAGTTACAAATAAATTTTCTTTTCATTCCATTCACTTCTTAAATACATTGCAAAAAACTAACACAATTCTTGCAACATAGCTTCTTTTATTTTTTTAAGATTTTATTTATTTATTTGACAGACAGAGATCACAAGTAGGCAGAGAGGCAGGCAGGTGGGGGTGGGGGGAGTATGCTCCCCACCCAGCAGAGAGCCCAATGCAGGGCTTGATCCCACAACCCTGAGATCATGCCCTGAGCCAAAGGCAGAGGCTTTAACCCACTGAGCCACCCAGGCACCCCACCACATAGCTTCTTGGTACAGAATCTTTCACATCACTATTAACCTTTCCGAACTTTTAAATAACTACATTTGAGCTTAAAATTAATGTGAAGTATGCAGAGCCAAGTAAATTTTTATTGACAGACACAGAATTATACCTCTGTTGCCATATGACTTTTTTTTTAATGATGAGAGGCATCGAAGCAGGGCATGAAGTTGTCTATGTGTCAATTAACAGGGAGGAAAACGTCCCATTTTTCCTCCTCCACATAATGAAGTTCACAAAGAGATTGAATTATAAGTCTTTTGCCACCACTTGCTGACAAATCTGTTTAATGTTTGTAATAACAGAGTGTATATACAACATGTCATGCCATAAACAATATTATGAAGCTAGCAAAACTCAATTATGTAAGTTTGACATTTACAAGAGACAGGCAAGACTACTCATTAAGCTAGCCTAGAAAGTCAAGTATTTTTTATTATAAATTTTGGAAGTATTTACCATTTGTTAAATGTTATGGTGGAAAGCCTCCTGATAATAAATGAGAAGTGATTATTTTCACAAAGTAGAATGCCTGCAAGATGACTTTACTTTCATTTGGGTAACTGGCTACCGTCTTACATTTTTCCTTCCTTTCAAAAATTCCTTCTCAACTATACAATTTCTACTTATTACTCTGAGCAAGAAGAAAATAAACAAGAATTCATCCTAATGTATGAGTTACTTGGGCCAAATGTCTACACATGTTTTTTCACATGAAAGTTAAAATTCAAATATGACATAAAGGAACAATGAATGAGCTACCCATTTTACTTGGCGCTGTTCAGACAAAAGCAGACTTAAGAAGTCGGGATTTTTTTCCCAGCTTCTCCTTTGATTAGCTGTGCAACCCAAGCAAGTCTTATAACCTAAATTTTAGCTTCTGATTTCCAATCCTGGGAGTTAAATTATCTGCCCTTATCAATTCACTGGGTTGTGAATGGAGACTGAATGGCAAAAAACTATCAATATGCAACAGCAAGGCTAAGGAAGACACAGAATTTGGAGAGTTGAAAAAAACCTTTTGATCATATGCTCCTATAAAGCATTAAAAATTACAACAGGTACATCCATACTGTGCTATTTTTAATAAATTTCATGGCACATGAAAAAACTGATACATCAATCAAGAAATATTTGCTGGATGTGTTATAGGTTCTAAAATGTTCAAGGAACTAAAACAGCATTTTTTTAAAGATTTTATTT